ACTTCATTTTGTAAGTAACTGAAGGAGATAAACAGCGTAAATAGTTTATTTGCAAGTTTCGTTGATTTCATAAATCGATTTGCAACGCACTTGATAATTGATTAATTGTTTTGGAGTAATTCAGAAAGTTTGACGCTTCCTATATTTAATAATTAAATGTTAGGTTATTTCAAATCGAAAGGTAGGGTAATACGAGACCCCAGCATATCTCCGTTACAGAAATCTTGAATGTCGTAGCGATGCTGTTTTGTTTCGTAATTAACCGCGTTAATTATCAAGTTAAATATGAAATTTGATTGAAATCAACGAAGCGTCTTCAACAAGCATATTTTTGCAATACGTTGCAGAAAGTTTTTCAAGTGGTTCAATTAAATTACAAATACCTCGAAAATAGTAAGTTTATAATCATTTTCATAAATACTGTTGCATAGTGCATGCAATGGAATTTAAGGCTTACTAGTTGCGTATCGTTAAATAACGAAGACTTAATCTCGTGTTATTGTTTCCGAATACGAGACCCTCGGAAGTTCCTATTATAAGAAGAGTCTCATATTAGGTACCCAATTTTCTTTTAGTGTGCAAAGTGTTACCGGTGAGCCCACGAAGTCTGCGGTGCTGAAGAAACAGATTTAATACGCCCAATGTGTGAAAAGAGACAGAAAAAATAGTGTTCTCATATTAGGAACCCATTTTTTAAATCTGTGTATTTGCATAATTTTCGTTTTTATTTTATTACGAAGGAACCGAATTTTCTTTACTGTACATTCCAGTATCTTACAAAAGAATACATATCATACTTTTAATACATGTATCGAATTTCAATAAAAGTGTTCTCAGTCGATAGTTATGACTTCATTAAGAAATGGGTCTCGTATTAGGCAACTTTACAAACTTTAATAGTTTGTAACTAGGATACACGTGATACATCTATGAAGTTGAAATCTGAAGCTAGATAAGAGAAGGAATATTCTGTACTAAGTAACGATTGTTGTTATTCACGACACGTAATATCTCTATATTGTTTACAACTATTGTGAATGAACTTCAGCTGCGATATATTAGTACGTTATTCAAGCAGAAATCAGCATCGTTAAATATTCCAGCTAAAATGGAGCTAACAGTAACATCAGATAGTGTCCAAAAATGCAAGAAACTAACATTGCAAGAAAAACAAAAAAATTCTTTATCTTCAATTATAAAAGAAAATTTGAATTTCGGCCATCATTCGGACAACTGAAAAATTAAAATCCTCGCACAGTATGG